TACATTACGAAGCCAAAGGGAAAACAATCCAACGACAAAGAAATGAGATGCATTGTTTACATTGGAATTTACAGGTTTTGACGGTATGTGTATATCTGAYACATAGRGCCGTTTTCGTTTGATCATGYAATCTAAYAACTATTTAGTGCATGAGTATTTKTTGGWAGAGAACAAAAGAAAACAATAGATTCACAAACCGATATTATCTATCAGTGTCATTAATCTTTCACGGTCAAATGAAAACGACTCAAAACTCGGCAAAGACTCCSCAGTCAAATTGCTCTTATTGGTGACTTATTGAGTTTACTTCATAAAGTAATCATGATTGTGGGTTTCCTATGCAATATGTTGTGGATTAGATATGAAATTACATGACATGCAGCTTACAAAGGTRCCATATTCAGGCCCGTAGGCTACCTTTCAAATGGTAGGAYTCGTTTTTTCGATATTGCGGACCTTAACTAAATGTTTAACTAAATTAGTTCAATGCACAGGTATAGTAASAACTGGCTGCTAGAATGAGCAGTTCATAACAAAATGCCATCTCACAAACAGCTCATTACAAAAGAATTAAAAAAAAAACAGTAAAAAAAGAGGAACACCGGACCTTTTATGCTTTTTTTAGGGGACCACCCCGGCCTACGRGACTGATATTCTACTTTATAGTAAGTTTCTTTATTGTATTGCCATTTATAAACAACATAAAATATTCATATCCTAGTCCTATATTCTTAGTTTCATGATGCTTRGACAGCTAAAATGACCATCATTCAGCATGCAGAGAAGAATTATAAATCCCGTGTATTTGAACAAGGATTAAAGTGGATTATGACAGAAGTCACGAGATTAATAAAGGAATTTAGATATTTTGTGATAATGCACAAAAGAATTTTAGACAAGGCGTTGGGGAAATAAAAGAATATRTACATTATGATTATCAATTCCCTGGAGCCTCGACTTCAATTCGTTTGCACAATTGGTTACTCAAACAAAATATCTAAACTATAYATACAACTGAAAATGAAAGAAATATTATTCAAAAGATATATCAACGATAGTTTAGAAGCACGAGAAAATAATTAATCATCATACCAAAGAATAAAATACCTATACAACAAATATTAAGCAGCCTTAAATCCGAACTATTGCGAACAATTTACATCACAACGATCCAAGAAAAATCTATGGTCGAGAAAGAAAATCAAAGAATTTTTAAACTGCAAAATTAAAGCTCGATATTTCTAAAAATACTCTTTTGTTATCTAACAGAGAAGACAATAAATTCTTTCAACGCCTTTGGTATTTAGCACTATAAATCCCCTAAAATGCACCCCTATCCTAGTATGCATCACGTCATTCAATAGTTTCTTTTGTTCAAATCTACCTATATTTCAGTACTAAATTCCGTGGCGAATCAGCAATTTTAAAAAGAAGCCGCCGTTCCGTTTTAATTTTCAATTTTCACTAAAGTAAAACAATCCTTTTACTTGAATAAATGAAATTATTATGACAAAAATATACAACAAACTCTACAAGAAAGAGTTTTGATAACTCATGCTTTTATCGATTAAAAAAGCCCCTGAGTTTGGGTTAGAGTTTCGTTGATAGCAAGGATCCCCCAGAAGCCGCTACAGCTATTTATTCTATTTTTATCCCAGGAGCATATCACAAGGCTGAGCATATAGCATGGCTGAGTTAAGTCCTAGCYCCCTCAAACAATATTTAATAGTATGTGACAATTTAGAATTAATATTGTGAAATATTCATCTGTGAATGGTCACGASAAACAATGATAAATTATTATGATGTCAAGAATCGATATTGAACATACAATTAGAATCGTTTAAGGATTTTAAGGRGSCTTWKTAATTCCAAAATTTMTAGTGACTGTGGTGAACTAAACGTGTTTAAAAAGGAGTTTAAGATATAATGTYGATCCACTGTTCAGGTGATTGGAAACTGTCAAAGGTCATATATGTGCAMATAAGTGAATYRACAWMAATAAAGAGAAACACGTTTCAATGACACTGACCTGCTTCTTTTCTAGCATTCTCATTCGCCTGRCATCTCCATGCTGTGCTGAGAGCACCAAACGTYGAAGATTTCGCTTTACATGCACAATTGCAGCTCGAGGATCCATAATTGCTAGCATCGACAAAGTTTGAACATGACCTGCAGTTAGGCACTTGAAATATATCGTACTCAAGTGATGTAGTACGAGTAATGTTGAAGACCTCTCTACCAGTACAATTTACACACAATAAATAGAGGATTAGAAAGAGGAATAATGTACGAGCCATTACTATAGTTAAATTAGATTGTTACTGTTCTGAACGAGAAAGGGCATGACGTGCAGGAAATAAGTTAACTAATGACGTTGCCAGGACGATGTCAGGTCATTTCAGCACGGTTATTACCTGCACATCAAGGGCTTTCTTGCTCTGAACAATAAACACTTGACCCCTGTTTTATCAACATCCTATAAATGTAACACACTATGGATCCCGGGCTTCGAAATCAGTCTTTTGGAGTACGTATTATAAAACTGTGAATTTTCAAAAGGCTAAATACGTACATATTCTATAATGGTTTTATAAAGCATCAATTAAATACGGTTGATTTCTTTGATTAGTGATCATAAGAACTCATAGGGGTACCATATTCAATTTCCCTTAGTATTCCCTAATATCAAAGGGCGGGGGTCCTCGGCGGAAATTATGAAAATGACCCCTAAGAGGGACCTGTGTTTGGAGATGATGGGCGTGGCAGTGCTGAAATTCCACCCCTAAAAGGGACCAATCAATAACAGGTCATTTTGTTTTAGTTGAATGCAGCACCTACCTTTCATAGGAAATATGACGGCTTAGGGACGTTATATACCCTAAAAGGGACCACAAAACTCAGTTGGGGGAAATTCTCCTCATTATAACCCTAAGCGGGACCAAAATACCGATTTCAAACCCGAAAAGGGACGCCGAGGACCCCCCGCCCTTTGATATTAGGGAGTCCCC